TACAAAGAAATAACACGCTCGACTGAAAATTACACACGACATAAGAGCGTCTTTTCTGTCGTGTTTCATTTCGTTGCTAACCTAATCCACGCTTCCATATGCGTGATACGTAGAAAGGAGAAACAATAGTGGGAAAAAGAATGTTATTATGGGGCGGAGAACTGGTCTGCGAATTTACGTTTTTCTTCTTGTCTACTACTACAACTACTACTACTACTACTACTAATACTACTACTAATGCTACTACTAATAATAATAATACCTGGGGTTTCACGTCCCAAAACCACGATATTGTCATTTGAGAGACCATAGTGAAGGGCTCCAGAAATGTTGACCGTCTGGTGTTCTTAACGTGCAACTGACCCCTACCATTTCGCCTCCATCAAAATGCGACCGCCACGGCCGGAATCGGACCCGCGACCTTCGGTTCAGAAGCCGAGCATCATAGCCCCTGTTCCACTGAGACGGACATTTTTTTTTTCTATAGTAAGATCGTCTTAACTGAAGAAACAAATTTTTTTATGTCGCGCCCGGTGGCATACATGTACACCGCCCCGATAAGATCAGGTCTTCCATATCAACCATCCATTCGCGGTACTCTAAGCGAAATGCCGCTATTCTGAAATTCGCTGTCCGCAAAGAATGTTCGCGCTAAAGTAACACTACCTCCTTCACTCCCCCTACTACCACGCTAAGCCGAACCCCCCCCCCCCCCCTCCCCCCCCCTATTTTTTGTCGCCGTGTGCCTCATCAAACAGTCACCCATCACGAGTACCGGCAGTGTTTCGCGGCCGTGTCGCGGTGCCCATCGCCATTCGCCCAAAAAAAATCCTCTACGGCACGCGAAAAGCAACAAACCACATCGGAAACATGACAAGCGTTCGACGCAAACGCGGAAGAGCGTCCCCCCCCCCCCTCGAACACGTGACCATTTCTCCCAGTCCGCGGCGGACTTGTGCACACACGCCAGAGCTGCGTCTCGCCCGTCAGGGTTCAGTGCCAGCACGGCTGTAACGCGCTGTCAAGCGGAGTGATAAATGCGTATACAAGCTCCCATCGTTTCTAAAGAATGCGCCGAAGCAGACGTTCCGTTAGGCGCACTGAATGTGCGCGACGTGTCCGAGTTTTGGGCGAAACGTTCGAATAAAGAGGGTGCGGCGAAGAACTTACTGTCAGGACTAGCACGAAGTTAGAGCGTAGCTCCTTCGAGATCAGTTTGAAAAGCGAGAGAACAGAAGAGAGCGCATACTATCAGTTCAGTTCAGTTTATTAACCTTAAGAGCTTCCCGAAGGAAGCATTACATAAGGGGTGGGTTAGAACTTCTCACATAGACATTTCATATTGATTAGTTATATGCTGCTGAAACAATGATGGGCAGGTGATGGCGGCAATGTCAGCAGGAAGGCCGTTCCAGTCTTTGGTAGTTCGGGGGATGAACGAGGCGGAGAAGTGAGCAGTTCGGGCACGTGGGCGCGCGACCTGCTGCGGATGACTGGGGTGTAGTGGCTCTCAGCCTGGTCATTAGTGGCTAGAGACGAGCGCTGCATTTGTGTTTCGGACGCTTCAAGCATTTACGCACTCAGAATAATTGACGACCTCCCGTCGCCCTATCAACTCGCTCGCTCGTAGATTTCGCTGCAACTAAAACCACTTCGCCAAGTGTATACTAATACACGCTGACGCAGTCTGCGCGGCCACCACTACAAGAGCCCGTCACCGTGTCCCGCAGCGAATTTCAGCTATTGAACACTGGAAGTCGTGAGGTGCCGCATTAAGGGAGCGTTTCATCGCAACAAATTGCCAAAGCAGTTCTTATGTAAGAAGGAACGGTGCCGTCTCACGCCTATACTTGAAGCAAGCTCGACTGTCAAACTCTGCATCCCCATGCAAGAAGCCCTTTGGTTCTGTTAAGTGCCGGGGGGAGAGGAGCACATCACGTTCATGCTTCTTCCCTTTATATTTTGAATCTGTCCCGCCGCGGTGCTCTTTGTGGCTAACGTACTCGGCAGCTGACCCGCAGCAGGTCACGGGATCGAATCCCGGCTGCAGCGGCTGCATTTTTCAGTGGAGGCGAAAATGCTGTAGGCCCGGGCGCTCAGATTTGGGTGCACGTAAAAGAACCTCGGGTGGTCGAAATTTCCGGAGCCCTCCACTACGGCGTCTCTCACAATCATATGGTGGTTTTGGGACATTAAACACCACATATCAGTCAATCAATCAATGAATCAATCAATATTTTGAATCTATCGGTGGCGTAACTGCGCGCGAAGAACCGCAGTCCCAAGTCGTGGCAAGTGCCGCCGCACCATCTGGGAGACTCTATACACTGGCCGTGGACAGTCCAGGGGTCTTGTGAGCCTCTCGAAAAGCGCCTCTACCCCCCCCCCCCCCCCAAAAAAAAAAGCACCCACGCGTTTCGTAAGATTTTTTTTTTTCAGTCTAGCGCGCGCAACTGGCGAGAGGGAGCAGAACTGCGCATGCGCTTGATCTAAGAGAGGTGCGTGCGTTTGCGCACGCCGGAGATCCGCACGCTATAGATCGCGGCGCTTGCGTTGCGCCCGCAACGACCATTGCGTACCTTACCTGCGGCTCTCGCGACATCTCGACCCGATTTGATCGATTGATCGTCCCAAAACCACCATATGATTATGAGAGACGCCGCAGTGGAGGGCTCCGGAAATTTCGACCACCTGGGGTTCTTTAACGTGCGCCCAAATCTGAGCACACGGGCCTACGACATTTCCGCCTCCATCGGAAAGGCGTTCTCCTTTCGTTCCGTTGAAAAGAACGCACCACATAAACGAAAACATCAAGTAAATTTGAACCAACAGTTGTTTGGTAACGCTTCTTTATATTAAATGAAAAAAAAAAAGTGCCCACTCCTAGCGAAGGGATGCGATCAGAAGCAGAGAGACAGAGGGATGAAGATCAGGGAATAAATTTTGAGTCGAAGAATAACATGCGGCCAGGCCTTTTCTTCTATTCTCGTTACCGTGACAACGACTGACACGCTGTAAATTATAGTACACGATGCGCTCACATCTTTACGGCGGTCGCTTTCTTGGACACAGCACGTTTCCGCAGCGCAGCAGAGAAAACGAGCTGTCGGGACTGCTCGCAAAAGTGCATTAAAAAAGAAATCCCTAAATAGCCACGTCAATAGATTTACTTGCGGTAAACTTTTTTTTTGTAATCCAAGATTTGCGTTTTCGTCACACACACACACACACACACACACACACACACACACACACACACACACACACACCACACACACACACACACACACACACACACACACACACACACACACACACACACACACACACACACACACACACACACACACACACCACACACACACACACACACACACACACACACACACACACACACACACACACACACACACACACAACGTCAACAGACCATTGATTTCACACTTAGTAAAATAATAACGCTCAGTTGACAGTGTTAATATAACCGTAAAGGAGATAATACGAATGACGTAAGTTCGCGTAAATAAAATAACCAGTAAATAGTTTGCTAAACAAACTAGAAGGCGGAAACAAGGCCTAGCGTATATAAAAAAAAGAACACTATAAGCTTATGAGCAGCCTGATCAGACTTTTGGGATAGAAAATTGAGCGTATACATATATATCAGAAAAATCGGTCACTGGAGAGAATCAGACTATTGTGCGACCAGGCGGGCGTCTTTTCGTCCACAAGTGGGTGACTTCCTCATTCCAGGCTTAGCCATGGCTAGCCGCCGACGCCCGAGCCCTTTCCACTAGTCGTCAGAGCTGGTCCTCAGGGATCATCGACGCCTCCCACTGGTCTTCTGGATTATCTTGTCCGCTCGGTTTATCCATGGGCGAGGTAATAGGGTTGTTTCGACAACCTCATACCATGTGCTCGCCTGTAGCCTTCTACATGTCACAGCTTGCTTCCTATTTGAGCCTTTTTTTTTTTCTGAGCAGATTGATAGCGGCATCGTTGCTTTCGGTAGTGCGCGAGTGGGTCGGAGTATTTTCGTGGTAAAATAAAACAAAAATCGCTCGGTTGTATAAGACTATAGGCTTTGAAGAATTATGTTCAGAAACTAATGAAAATCAGCTTTACTAATATCAACTCGCACCCGAAAGGGTGCCCGGGAACGCCAGAAAGATAATTTGCGAAATATTTTTAGCCACCGAGCGTCTGTGAACAAAGTGCTCAGCTAAGACCGTAGCCGTGTTCAAACGAGGAGGTCTGAGAAAAAAAAAAAAAACACCGTTCATAGTGTTCAGCAGCGGCAAAAGACAGAACCTGCGCAAAGTGGTGAATTTCTATCCGTTTGGGTAGACTCTGTACAGTAACGGTATCCCGATTAATCGAATGAACCTGTATCGAGTCACACTCGACGTTTTTTTACATACCGAGTTTTGCGGGTCGAAGATTACTCTCGGATACTTTTTTTGTAAGTCGGAACATTTTAGTTTAAGCCACCTAATATACAGCCTCCAGCCACCTAATATATACCCCCGTATTCACAAACGCTCCTTCACTCAAGGAGTCTCCTCGACTTGAAAATGTCGATGGGAGCACCGTCTCTTGGCGGGTCAAGTCACTGCATATCGGCAATATCCTGCAGCGATTCTTGAGAAGCGTAGCGTCAATTTCAGTCGAGCAGCGGCGCAGTGCGCAACTCAAGTGAAGGATAAAATTCGAGTCGAGGAGCGTTTCTGAATACGGGACATAGTCTCCGCGGCTCCAAACAAGATACAGCGCGGCTCGTATACTAATCTGAAGTTTGGGAAGACGGCGCGCGCCCATCAAGGAACAAGCGCCGGCCACGAGAGCCCCACAGCAGGGCAGTTCCGCAGAAAGAAGGAAGCCAGGCTTGGCGCGGCGACCGTGTTTACTATAGCGTCGGGAACTTTCAACAGCGCTATCTGCAAGCGGCCCGTCGGGGTGAGAGCTATCTGCAAGTCGGGGTGAGCAGGGCGCACACTTACCAGCAATCGGCGCCTCCAGTTGCACTGGCGCCGGCCGAGGTTCGTTCGGTTGGACACGTCCTTGAGAACCCTGCGCCCAGACAGCACACACGGGTTGAGCAATGGGGAGGCGGCTACATCAGCCACGGCACTGGTGAAACTACACTCTTCAAAAGTTACTAAAAAAAAGGTAGCAACTGCAGCAGTTACTACCATTTTGCTACCTGTTTACTACCTACGTTAGTAAACAGTTACTAGCTGCAACCGTTACTAACTTTTCGCGCCCTGTTCACTACCTACGTTAGTAAACAGTTAGTAACTGGAATGAAAGAGCTAGTAACTGCAGTCGTTACTCGCTTTCTTGCCCCGATACTACCTCTTTGCTACCCGGCTATTGACTATCTACTCCAAAATGGTGTGCGATTCCTAACACATCCCGAACATTTCCCGAAGTTGTGTAGTAATTAGACATTGATTGACCAACATTAACAATGAAGAAATAATGTGCCAAAATAATGAACAGGGTTGTCTCGGTTACTACTTCTTTTCTTGAAACCTTTAAAAGTTACTACCCATGGGTGGATTCCGATTCTGATAATTTATGAGAGAAATCGTCTCGACGTGTCAGTATTAAACAAAAAAATTATGACGCGGAAGTTAACCATACATTCAAGGAAATACATTTTGCTTTAAATTACACAACCGAGATGTGTAAACGTCATTCTGATATTGTCGAAACGGAGAAGTACAAGTTAACGAACCATAAGCGAGTGCTACACCCTCTTTAACAGACAATTACAACGAACTCACTAAATTACAGAAAATTAACAAGACCAGCGGATCAAAATAACCAGACGGTCACAAATAGCCTCGAAGGCATTCACAATTAATCCACTGCAGGGTGTCTCCAAATATTGTCATTGTTTTGGCGCGTCCAACCCCCAAAAACGGTCCTTACCTTTTAGCGCTGATATATTAGCCGTGTGAAGCATTCAAATGCCCTGAGAATGAGTTCGGTACCTTGTTTCGGCTGCTGTACATAATGCTTTTTTGTGGCTCTTTTATAATGAATAGATATGACATATTTTTTTACGAATAAGGCTGATTAAAAGTCTTGTGTTACATTCCCAAACACACGTAACCAGGTAGTACAATACAGTGTCATAGGTTCACATTTGCTATATTTCATCCTGAAACACAAGTGCTCCCTTGTGCCACACACGCACATGGAAAGAAAGGGCTATATATACCCCACGCTTACTTTATACTGCATGCGTAAAAAGTAACGAACTTGTTAGGTCTATGCGTTCTTTGCGTTCATGGTACACCACGCTACCTTTCCCGAAGTTGTGTAGTAATTAGACATCGATTGACCAACATTAACAATGGAGAAATAATATGCCTAAATGAATAAACAAGGTAGTATTGGTTACTACTCTTTTTCTTGAAACCTTTAAAAGTTACTACCCATGGGTGGTAACGGCTAGGGTAGTAACAGTTACTAATTGCTGGTAGTAACTGCAACGGTAGTAACTGTTACCACCCTCGCGGTTACTAACTGCGCTTACTACCAGTGTTGTAACATGTGACAAACCATTACTATCCCAAAGTTAGCAAGTACTGGTACTTCTTTTTTTTTTCTCTACGAGTGTACGCGCACGCATGTATGTACTATAGTCAGAGTCAAGCGCGACGGGCGCCTTAGCTGCTGGTTGCTTTCGAAATGCGAACTGAATTGCGATGCTTCCCCAGAACAAATAAACGTCCTCTGCCGCATGCAAAGCTGCTTTAGCAATGTTTCAAACTAGGAAAAAAAAAAAAAAAACTTAAATGAAGCAAGATTTTCGTCCACCGAGATCCGTAGCAGCGATTGACGGTGGAAAGTTCGCGATGCTATGCGAGCAGGAAAATAAATTATTTGTTTTTACCAATCGCCTTTGCCACCGATTACATAATAATTTGCGCAACATCCACTCGATTCTGTCCTAAAAGCAATAACATCTACTTGTGCATTTATACAAATGAAGCTAAACACCTTCACGTGAGACCACGTTAGACATTTCATTTAAAAAAAAAAAAAGCAAGTAAGCGAAACGGCTGGATCTCCCGTAATCGAGAGTAGACGGAAGCATGAAATGGCTACCGTCTGAGTATATTGTCTGCAGACGATAGCAGCCGCAATTTTAGTATCCGCTCGTGCGTATCTGCTTTCACTGTACACTGTCAACCTTTATGAAAGGGAACACGTGGGCGCGTCGCATGCGCCCTGCGGCGGCTGCCTACAGGACCATCATCAACCAACAGCAAAAGGCGTTGGCTGTTGGCGTCATCTATTGGCAAACAAAACAACTATTTATGGCCACTGGACAAGCGCTGCAAGATACTGTAGGCAGAAATGGCTTAAGTGAACGAGTTGATGACAGAAGGGGTGCTCCCGTTCCTATAGACCTGAAGTTAGATTTTGGGCCTACACACGTGTGTTGGCGCTTTCATCCTCGTTCACTTAAGCCAGTGCTAGATTTCACTTCAGACCATTCAAAGATAATGAAACAGGGCATAGGCGCGTCATATGTTCACTCAGCCTTGCTTAGGACGGGCAACAGATTAGCTTCCCAGGTAGCAACACACAACCAAGCAGGTTTTTCCGGAACACACCATCGCGCAAGCCTGTGAAAAGGTGCGCGAACGTTTGAAGCCAAATCGTTCACAGGCGGGAGGCGACAAAGAACGAACGGGCTATGAGAGCAAAAGAGTACACGGCCATTCCGTACACTCATCGTGTGACTCACGGTTTGAATAACTGGCCCTACGTTGATTGATTTGTGAAGTTTAACGTCCCAAAACCACCATTGTGATTATGAGAGACGCCGTAGTGGAGGGCTCCGGAAATTTCGACCACCTGGGGTTCTTTAACGTGCACCCAAATCTGAGCACACGAGCCTACAACATTTCCGCCTCCACCGGAAATGCAGCCGCCGCAGCCGGGATTCGATCCCGCGACCTGCGGGTCAGCAGCCGGGTACCTTAGCCACTAGACCACAGCGGCGGGGCAAACTGGTCCTACGTTGCGGCGTTGATGTAGTTTTTTTTTTCCTCTTCCCCACAAAAGCTGGAATCCATTAGCGCAAAAGTCAGGAAAAGCATTGACACACAAGTCAGAGTACATGGGAGGGTTCGCAGCGTTTGCAGCATCAAACACACTCTTCGGTACATTGAATGAATAATGGCGGTCATCGTCTACCTGATTCCACTATCATGCGGAAAATCATACACTGGACAGAGCGGGAGATGTATCAATATCCGTCTTAGGGAGCATGAACGATCACTATCGTACACCGAACCATGTTCACTCGCCGCCCATAGTAAACAGTGCGGTCGCATTCCGTTCTTCGCCGACACTAATATACTGTCACGTCATAAACAACAGTTAGCAAGGGTGATCGTCGAAGCGTTCCACATCCAAAGGAAAGGGGATAAATGAATCAGCGTACCCTTTATCGCGCTAAGTGATGCGGAATTCCAATACCTAAACGCCGCCTGCACATGTTGATATCAATGATTATCTGTTTTCTGTCCATTTTTTCACCTTTATATTTGCATGCTCTTAATAAAAATCAGTTGCGAGTCAGCACCCGTGTTGTGCCCTTACTTTTCTTCTAAGTCCTCGTTCTCCAGTGCGCTATTAAAATCAAGATAAATCCGTACCAACTTGCTCAAGTTGCAATTATCATACTGTAGACAGCCGTTGTAGAGGTCACGTGATCCCGTGTTCCCTTTCATAAAGAACGACAGTGTACAGGTGGCGCCACAAACGGCGAACGGTGGCGAAAAGCGGATGCGAGCGCCTCATAGAAGCCTTGCGCAAAGCACCCGCTACAAGCCGTTTTTGTCATCCAATTTTCATTCTAGTTTGATACCTGCACTGCCAACACTGCTCTATTAGATAGCCATGACGTTCCTCACATCGATCGTTCTATTTTATTTGTGTGAGAATGACGGGCCCATTTTTTTTCAATACTGTGCACATGCTCGATGCAATACGCACGTTCTTAACGCGTATATTGAAGTTGCTTGCCTGATCTGTTAACATAAACAAAATAAAGAGTGTTGGCACCTTAAAACGGACATCTCGCTTTATTGAACATTCCGAACATTGATATGTGGGGTTTAACGTCCCAAAACCACCATATGATTATGAGAGACGCCGTAGTGGAGGGCTCCGGAAATTTCGACCACCTGGGGTGCACCCAAATCTGAGCACACGGGCCTACAGCATTTCCACCTCCATCGGAAATGCAGCCGCCGCAGCCGGGATTCGATCCCGCGACCTGCGGGTCAGCAGCCGAGTGTCTTAGCCACTAGACCACTGCGGCGGGGCGAACAGCCGGAACAGTACAACAGCTATGTAGTAAATCACGGTTGTACGCCAGCTTAGTGCGTTTCCTCTCGTTCCCGGATGTGACCTTCGTGCAAGCCTTGTATTGAACGCGTGCTCGCGCCAGAGAGAGGTATTCATTCCATTATTTTTTTTTTTCGAGCACTTTGACGGTGATAGGCGATGGGCGGAGCAGTTTAGGGGCCCGGAATGTTGTGTGCTGTCGCTTCGCGTAACGCAGGCAAAAACCACGCACACAAATAGAAAAGAAAAAAAAGAAAGAAGAAAAGAAAGAAGAAAAGAAAGAAATGGACGAAGTAGGGAGAAAAATATAAATGAATGAACAAAGAGTTTAAAAAAATCTGAAAAACTGCTAAGGCAAAGAAGAAAGAAAACCTAAGAGAAAGAGAAGGCTGCCCAGCTCGACATTTGAGGCAGCTGCAGACTAGTGCAAAGCTGCAATTTTTTTTTTTGTTCACGCATGTAAACTCAACCGCCAATACGAACTGTTGCCAGAATATTCGCTATAATCCGGCAAGAGAAAACATTCTTGGTGGCGCACAAGACGGCCCAGCAGAACGCCAGGTTACGTGAACGAAGCAACGTTGATTGGGTTTTGAGTTAAATTTGAGCAATTACAAGAGGCAGCAGAGCGGAGAAAGTTTGTTGTTTATTAAGGACGGTTGAAAGAAAACAGCTACACAGAGGAATCGTCG